CGGCTCCCTATGGCCGGTCCTGAGGGGCTCCCCGTGAACCCCAGACCCTTGACTCCCCACGGCCGGTCCTGGGGGGCTCCCCGTGAACCCCGGTTCCGCGACTCCCCACGGCCAGTCATCAGGAGGCGGCTCCCACTGTCGATCCTGGGGGGGCGCCCCGTGACCCCCAGACCCTCGACTCCCTACGGCTGGTCATCAGGGGGCGGCTCCCCACGGCCGGTCCTGGGGGGGCGGCTCCCACTGTCGATCCCGGGGGACGCCTCATGACCCCTAGACCCTTTACTCCCCACGGCTGGTCCTGGGGGGGGCCGTGAACCCTTGTTCCGCGACTCCCCACTGTCGTTCTCAGGGGGTGTCTCCTGACGTCCTGGCGCTCTAACTCTCCACGGCCCTTCCTCAGAGGGCAGCTCCCCTGGCTGGTCTTGAGGGGTTGCCCTGTGACCCCCGTTACTCAGCTCCCCGTGGTCCAACTTCACAGGGTGTTCATGTCACCTCACGCCTGTGATTCCCTGCAGTTCTCAAGAGGTGCCTCCCGTCCCCCAGTTCCATGACTCCCCACGCCGGTCTTGGGGGCCCTCCTGACCCCTAGCTCCATGGCTCCCCATGCTGGTCATCGGGGGCGCCTCTTGTCATTTGGCCCTGGACGCCTAGTGGTAGATCCTCAGGTCTGTGTCTCCTCACTGCAGGTCCTGTCTCCCAGATCTGGGACTCCAGAACCCCGGACTCCCCCTGCAGGGGATGCCTCTTGTCCCCATTGCAGCCTCCTCCTCCTCCCTTAAGGCCAGGGCAGCCAGAGAGTCCCTTCTCTCCGGGCACAGCCCCTGTCTCTCTCTCAGTTGAAGCTTGTCTTGATCTCTTTCTCTGAACCTAAATTTCGTTCAGAATTTCACCCACAGCCTTTTTCTGCCTTCATAAAATCTCGAGCCCTTCTCAGAAACTAGCCCTGGAAAGTCCTAGGCTCTGGAGAGAAGGAAGTTTCCCCCTTTTCTACCCAGTGGTACTCCCTAATCTTTCCAGGAAGGTGATCCTAAATCTGCAGCCTTAGTAGGTTCATTGCAGAGAGTGACAGATTTGCCTCTCACTTGCTCCCTGTTGTCATTTTCATGCCTTTGCCTTTATTCTCTAATTTCATACGGAGATGTCAAAGCAAACCTCCACCTACTCCAGCTTAATGTGTTTAAAAAAACTTAGGTGACATCTTTTATGGACAGTGCAAGACATTATATTAATTGCTTTACACGTTTAGCTTTTCTGCTAGGTAGCCGAACAATCCTTTAGGGGTTGTTGTTAGGCGGCACTGAGGTGACTACAACTCATGGGAACCCTGTGAACAGTAGATTTTTACTTTTCTTTATTCTGCACCATCTCTAGCCCATTGTTAACGTTTCTGTGTCAGCCCATCTTGTTGAAGGTCTTCCTCTTCCTCTGACCCTCCATCTTTCCTAGCATGTCTTTTTCCAAGGATTGACCTTTCCTGACAACATGTCCAAAGTGTATTGATATGAAGTTTCACTAAGGAGCCACCGTAGTTTTACTTCCTCCAAGACTGGCCAGTTTGTTTTCCTTCAACACCACTGGGATATTCAGTTCTCTTCTCCACACCACATCTTAAGGGTTTTTTTTTTTAAGTTGTTAAGATCTTAAGGGTTTTGATTCTTCTGTCATCCTTATTCACTGTGCAGCTTTCAGATGCATAGGAAATAATGGAAAAGACCATGACTTCAGTCAGGCATACCTTAATCTTTAATCTGATATCTTTGCTCTTTAGCACTTTGGAGAAGTCCTTGACAACAGATTTTCCTAATTTAACACGTCTTTTGATTTCTTTGCTGCTGGTTCCAAAGGTCTTGATTGTTGAGGCACTATTGTTTTTTTCCTTTTACAGATCTTTTACAGACTAAGCACCGAGAGTCCTGTGAAGGTTGCAAAAAAGATAAAAGTTGAGATTTCTACTCAGGCAGTCTGCATTCAGAGTCTGTACTCTTTCCTGTGGAAATTTTGATGGCAAATTAGGTTCACATTTGATAGTTTGAACAAAGATTATTCAGTAACTCCTGTCACCAAACCGCTCTTAACCGTTCGTTAGTCACTCTTAACCACTGTTACTGTGCCTCAGTGGGGATTGTGAGCCATCCAGCCTTTTTTGTTGATAATTATACTTTTTCCTTCCTTTTTAAATCTCCCACATCTCTTCCTGTTCTTCCCTGAAGAGGGTTACTGCCTGCTTTATCATGGGTACAGTGTCTCATGAGCGTGGAAGGGAGTGTCAGGCCTTTACTCCTCAGCACTGCCTGGACAGCTTCCTTCTCCAGGGCACATTGTTCGCCATTTTCCCAGTGTCATCCCAAGAGATGACCCTTAATGTGACCTTTTTAATTTGGATTGTTCTTTCACCCTGTGGCTGTCACCAGCTCCTCTCTCCCCTCCATGCTTGATGATCGTGACCATCATGCTTTTTCCATTTTCTTTAACTGTGAAGGGCCCTCAGTTAACACTCTTGTACAAAAATGAGCTACTTACTTGTATCCTACTAAGTGTACTTTCTGTTAGCTGCCGTTGAGTTGAGTACAACTCACAGCGAACCTGTGATTAAAAGATTTGAACCCTGTCTTATCCTGTGCCCTCCTTATCTCTGACACACTTGAGCCCATTGCTGCAGTCACTCTGTCAGTCCATCTTGTTGAGGGTGTTCTTTTTCATTATCCTCCACCTTTTCAAGGGATAGACCTTCCTAACAACATGCCCAAAATAGGGGACAAAGTTTTGCCATTCTTGCCACTAATGAGTGCTCTGGTTGCACTTTCTTTCTTTTTGCAATACTCGCTCAGCATTTTTTTTAA